TTTAACTACTAAGGTTATTATTAGCCTGGTACTGTGGGGGGAACTGTTGATTGGTACACGTGAGAGTTTGGGTGCAGAATTTCAAATGGGCACCCATAGGTTTCTGCCATTCCCGGGGGGGCTCTCTCACCAGACAGCGTGAACTGCCCGGAAAGTGATGCCACCTGTGACCGAACGTTGCAACCGACGCCTTGGAATATATTATATTCAGTGGTGCAAATTCTTTTTTTAGGGGTGCCAAACCTAAAGAAATTGACCAGTCCAGCACCCACAAATTTTTTGAGTTATTCATACAATATTATACAACCAATGTATAAGTATATAATCTATATCAGCTACTAGGTTTTTTTTTTTTTTGTGGTGGGGCTAAGTTCCTCCCCCGATCAAGGAAATTTGCCCCACTGAATTATATTATGTTATACTGAAAATCCCTCTCCTATGTTTATAATATAATATACATATAATAATATGTATAATATATGCATAATATTGTATAATGTATATATTTAAAATAATACAATGTAAAACACTCATTTACTCAAAAAGTATTCAATTTTTTCAAATTTTTTTTTTTCAAAATTTTAGATTTACACTGTTCTAGAATTATATAATTATTTAATATTTTTCCCCCTTATATTTATTAGGTAAACCATCATCGACTTTTGATTTTCAAATGGCAACCCATACTGAAAATTTCATAATTTAGTAAGGCTTTTTTTTCTTATGAATTATCACGTTTAAATTTTCWTTTTTCGTTWATCCKTTGACGAGATACAACTCCTCAAAGTTGGGGTGTTTTGGAAGGTGTTTGTGTGTAAATGTGTTATATCTACCGCGAAAATTAGAATTTGTATGCCCTAGGGTAAAAAATATTACATTTTTCAGATCAATTCAATAAGTACCWAATGTAAACGTAAGTTGGGCCCATAAATGTTTTTTATAATGCCAATTGAAGGTGTTTGCGGCACTGGTCATAATAATACTTATCAGTTACAAAGACCAGAAGCTATAAGTAATAAATACGTGTTGAATGTAAACAACACACCCTATAGTATG